AAATTGCAATTTTCATACTGTGGATATACAGTACAGTATACTATGGATTTAGTGATGCAATTGCAAATCCCATAGTATGGATATCGTTATTTTTTCGAGTGATGTTGGCTGGAATAAAGTTTCAGTTTGACTTCATTCAAAATTTTCATTATCCCCGTTCCGGGCGTAAGCCCGGGGCAAGGATACTAATTCCGCACGGCTAATTATACCCGGGTATGTGAAAACATAGCGAAGTTCAAAGTTGTCCTCCATTTGTTTATGTTATGGACGGTTTTTGACGTTATGCGCATGTGTGAGTACAGGCTCTACCTAAATAAATTGTTTTTCATTTTGAAAGGACGTATTTCGCTGTTTTACAGCAGATGTTTTGTTTTAAATTTTATAAAAAAGTTTACAAAAGTACGAAACGTTTTGTTTTTCTTTATGAATTAATGGCTGTTGAACCGTGAAACTAAGTTTGCAGTAATTGTTATTGTTTTGGTGTTTTCATGTTGATGTTTTTAATAATTTATTGTTGTTGTGTTTGGGTAAGTGTAAACATTTCAGTAGTAAATTTCCATTCCATGCATATTTGCTTTGTGTTGTCGATTTTATTCATATCTGCGAAATTTTTAAGCCATTCTTACAGTAACTCGATAATTCACAATAAATAATGTGTTTTAATGCAAGCTGTGAAACTGGTATGTATACATGAAATTGCAGCGAATGTCATTGTTCATTAAGCTAGTGCATCAGTTGTATTTTTATGTTTGTTTATAATGGTCTTAATACTTTATGTGGAGTTTCATTATGCCTCATTTGTTGAGAAAGGCGAGGGGTTGCTGCATGCATGTATGTTCTGGTATATTAACTTACTTTTTATATAAACTTCTGCCGATCGGTTTAACAAAGCCAGCGTGATAGCAAGTTTTCGTGTTTGTTCCTACTGAAACATCAGCATTTATACTTTCTGCTCTTCCAAATACATTTATAAGTCGACCACCCATCACCTGTGGATAGCAGAAAATGTAATTATTATATACTAACTCTGAACAGTGTATCCGCTCAATGACATTTGAAAATATTTTAACGATTGACGAGCTGGTATAATCTCAGAGCCATCGGTGCGAAGCGCTGTTCCGGGCGTAAGCCCAGGCCAAGAGTACTATATACAATTCCGTGCGGCTATATTTACACCCGGGAAAAGGACCGCATTAGCGAAGTCTAAAGTTCATCAGCAATCACGGGCACAAGGCTATCATGGTTCAAGTGGGGATGGGTGGCACTGAAATGAATATAACTGGAATTCTATCTCCAACCGAAAATTTGAAGCCAAACTTGAAGTTGGCCAGTCTCAGTCTTTTCACGCATGCAAAGAGCGCGGTCAATCCGTCAACATGAATATGTACAGGACAGTATTCTTAAAAACTGGCTTAAAATTTACAAAAAAGCTTTTTAACAACGCTCAAAGCTTTCATAATTCCTGATGATGACTTAACAGTAGTCGAAATGTTGAATCAAAGCTTTCTGTTAATAATTTTTTTCATGTAAAACTTCCTAGTAGACCTTACGCCAGAGAATCGCGAGGCATAAACCAGGGGTGGAAAAAGTATCGGAACCTGGGAACCTAGTTCCCAGAAATTTTTTTGAGTTGAGAGATTTGCAGAAAATTTTCCAGAAAATATTTTAACATTTTGAGATAATCTGTTTACTCAACTTACAAGTTACAACTATTCTACTTTATGTACACTGTACACGCTAACATCAGCAGACTTTTAAATATTTGACAGAAATTAATTCTTTTACCCACCCCTGCCATCACAATGAGGTAAAACGGTAAATATATGCTCTGCAACATCCAGGGCCGTAGGAAGCTCTTTTAGATTGGGGGGAGGGTGAAAGCGAGGGCCAAAGGCCCGAGGAAATTTTTAAATTTAGAGTCTCTGAAATGCCATTTCCTGGACTTTGGGGGAAGGTTTGACAGAATTCTGATGGTCAGAAAACAGCGTTTTAGTATGTCGAAATTTACAATTTAGTAGTATTAAATGGGCGAAGGTGTATTTAATTAACTATATATTGGATAAGTTGCAGGAAAGGATGGGTAATATCTTCATTTTTTGCAGTTTGTCATGGATAATGTAGCCGCTTAATACTAATAAAGTTTAAAATTGATAAAGGTCTGCATGATTTTGAAAAAAGAATGATTATCAGAAAATTATTGGGGGGCTGCCCCCAGTTGCTACGGCCCTGGGAACGTCTCCAATAAAATGCAAATTAAATAGTAAACAAATAAAAGTGATGGAATAAATAAGATGATAGGACACTTAGTTAAGCGTTAGATCCTTACTAGTTGGTCGTAACTCATAACTGTGGTATATAACAGACAACTTACAACTATTGCGATGTACAAGCATACAAAAACCAGCCTAAAGCCTATTATTACTAAAGTACAAATAATACAATAATTATGCATTTCTTTTGTTATTTTTGTAATTGTAATATTGCTAATTTTACAGAAAATTTCTAGCCTTCGACCCAAGTTCCCAGAAAGAAAAAAAATTTTTCCACCCCTGGCATAAACACGCGGGTATTGACCGATTCAGATTTGGCTTCAAGAAAAATATGAGCAGTTTATCTGGGGGTGGCGCTCCAGTTATTCTCATTTCACTGTATAGGTGGTCATCGCAATGAACTCAAAAATATGGAAAAAAACTTGTAAAGGCCGATTTAGACCACACAACTTTTGCCTCAAACTGTCGCATGCAACCTGTTTACAACTTGAGTTGTACTGTGTAAATCAACACACAACTCACCTACATTGTCGTACGGTAGGTGAGCTGTGGGCTTGATTTATATACAGTACAATTCAAGTTGCAAGCAGGTTGCATGCGACAGTTTTAGGCAAAAGTTGTGTATAGTCTAAATCGGCTTCAAGAAAGGTTTTAAAACGTAAACCGTAATTACGTAGCCATTACATTACGCAGCCATTGCTATTATAGGAACATGATTGGAATGATGGAGTCAACTGATGTATTACGCTTCTCCTTGTTCTAATTCCTACAGTATTTTCAGGTTTCTGAGTGAATACCGTTTACACTACTGTGTTTTATTTATCTATTTTAAAGACTAAAACGTCTTTAAAAAGTCTAGCTTCTGAAAGGGCCTTCGCTCGAAACGTCGAAGATTTACTTGTACTCAGGTAGTTGAATCTGTTCAGGTAGTTGAATCTGTTCAGGTAGTTGAATCCACTTCAATCCGCAGCTTTCTGGTGTTATTATCACAACCCACGATGGCCCAGACCTTTTCAGTTTATTACCATTACCCTTTAATGTACGAAATAGTTCACACTGTCTTGATATACCGGGTGGCGCCAAGACCGGATTTTGGTGGAAATAGTGAGGGAGGTGGGAAAAAATTAGGGATGAGCCGATAAGGAAAATTGCCGATTACTGAGGCCGATTATTTATATAGCTGATTATTGTAACTAATCGGCCGATTAATCGGTACCCACCGATTATTTTAAAAAGCAAGCGAAAAATCACAAGATGGCCAACAATGAAGTTGTAAATGCGGTTTTAATGTTTACAATACACACTTTGTACAATTGAAAACAGCTTCAGTCTCTCATGTCAATAGTCAAAGTTTAGTTTTGGCAGATTATGGTGTAAAAACAAGGCAGTGTCAGCTACGCGGACCTAGTCTGCTGTGTTTTTTTTTTGTGGAAATATTCCCAGCTTCACTTCACTTGAGACAAAAGACACAGGTTTTGCAACAAAATGTGAAAATCTATTCGCTTGTATTCAGTATTTTAGCATGTGATTGGCAGCTGCAGAAAAAGTCTTATGGCCGATTATTTGCCGATTATCAGGCAATAATCGGCCGATTACCGATTATTTAAAAAACGGTCGATTAATCGGCTTTGCCGATTATTTACCGATTAATCGGCTCATCCCTAGAAAAAATTAGGGGAGGTGCAGTGGTCTAGCTCTCAGCCCCCAAGTTTGGGCTTAGGACTGGCCAAAATTAATGACGTGACGTATGCATGTAGTGTACATATGTATCAGTGTATTAATGAATTATGACTGTACGACTCATCCAATTTTGTCCTTCATTACAATTACTACAAAGTTTCTTTCAAAACATTGCATTAAAAGGGTATTTGATACAGAGATGCATGGCTATCACTGTTACGAAGTGTAGATCCTAAGCAACCAAATATGTCAAATTTTCACTTTGATCTATCATTGAAACTTCCCCAAGGGGAGGTGCATTGAAACTTTCCCAAGGGGAGGTGCATGACTATTCAGGGGAGGTGCAAAAATTCTCAGGGGAGGTGCGCACTTCCCCTCAAAATTCGGCCTTGGGTGGCGCAAAAAAATGTTCCCCCTCTTTGACTCATTGTAATTAAAAAGCTGAAAATCTATCTCATACAAATAAAATATATTGAACGTAGTATGTCTAACTTAAATTTTGATGTATGCCTGGAACATTTCTATAAAATATTAGTACAGGTAATAGCATGGTTTCGAGTGCAAATTGGATATAACATGCACGAGTGAGTTTTTCAAAGACCTCAAAATAGCACGAGTCCAAACGACGAGTGCTATTTGAGGTCTTTGAAAAACTCACGAGTGCATGTTTATCCAAATTTCACGAGAAACCATGTCCATGCTATTACTTATTAATAATTTACATAAAAATGTTTGAGACAATTGTAGTTTGAACTTACGCGTTTATAGCAAACATTCCACTGGCAAAGTTTTCCTGGCTTTGTTATATCACATTATACAACGCTGACAGCTTGAACATTCCACTCAACTATGTAATTTTTGTTAGTTTTGTTTAAGGCAAATGCTTTTCCATTTAAAAATAAAGATAAAAGCCATATTTTCCACGCGAAGGCAACTTTTATTTTGTGTAGCGCGGCGCCATGTTTGTTTTGTTTTGAAGCAATCTGTGACCATTACTTCTTTAAACTGAAATGCTTTAAACTGATTGGTTGATTTAATCATCACAATGTTTTTTCACCAATCAGATCAGTTTGTTACACATTTTTGCACTGTGATTACAGAAAATTGCACTGTGATTACAAAAAATTGCACTGCTGTTTGGGATTAACTGCACTGAAATCAACCAATCACAGTCGAGTAATATCTTTATGTATATTATTATATCACATTATACAACTTTAACGGCTTGAAAATTTCACTCAAATATATAAGTTCTGCTAGTCTTGTTTAAGGTAAAGTCTTTTCCATTTTAAAAAGAGAAGAACTCGAACTCAACTTTTACTTATGTAGCGCGGCTTCCATACATGCATGTTTGTTTTGTTTTGAAGCAATCTGTGACCATTACTTAACGACTGCTTCAAGCTGATTGGACGAGTGCAATTTGAAGTCTTTGAAAAACTCACAAGTGTATGTTTTTTCAAATTGCACGAGAAACTATACAATTACTTATTAATAATATACATGAAAAAATTATGCAGTCACCTGCGAAAGTCACATTTACAAATTGAGAAAACTAAGAAATTTGAAAAACAAAAATTTAAGAAAACTAAGAAATTTGTACTGTATTTCACTTTTTGGCACTATGTATTTCGAAAAAAAATCCACTGCTCTTACCCAATCAAAATTGAGAAATTTTTTCATGTATAAAAACGTGTACAAATATTTCGAAGACGCGATGTTCACATGTCGTCCCACCCAGGCGCGATATAGGTGGGATAAAGACAGACAGACAAGAGTCAAATGAATTAACATATGCAGAAATAATTCACAAATCAAAACTAAAACACAGATTCAGTATGTAAAATCTTTATTCAAACTGATCTACTATAAAATCCTGCTCAATACATGCTGTCAACAGATGATCGAGTTCTTTAATTATAACATATAACAACGTTATAAATTACTACAAAATTATGAAAATTATATCTTAAAACAATTAAGTTATAAATTACTATGATACTATAATAGGTTTCACTATGAACTAACATGAAGCTGATGGTGTTCAACCGACAGTTAATAGAATGAAAAAACAATGTCGTATTGTTCACATTTCTGAAGTTGAACACCATCTGCTACATAGCGCTATAAGTGACCAATTCGGAGTTTCGACTGCGCAATTCACGCCTTCTGCGCTGGGCCCAAATTGCAGTTGAACTACCGCGGGTGCATGTCCCCAAAAAAACCGGGCGCTGTTTGATTTCATGTAACGTAAAAGCTATAGCAATGAAATTTAGGTCATTGCATTCATGCAGAAAGGTCTAACTTTGATTTTGATATATAACACTTGAATTTACATTAATTTCTTTAGCAGCTTTGTATTTAGGTGTGTACTTTGTATCTTGTGATTTCTCGGGTGGAAACTAATTAGAAAAGAGAAAGAAAAATTCCACTCCGCGCGCAAAATTCCGTCTAGTGGAAAACCGACTTTAACACATGTATTCTAAAAGCTCACTCACACTCAACGAGTGGAGGTTCAATCTGAGCTTCCCTTGAGTGTCCGTGCTGTTTTTGAATATATAGCTGGAGGGTTAGTCTCGTACCTTGTGACTACTCACCCTACAGCTATTCAAAACTAGCACTGACATGCACTCAATGTAAGCTCAGATTGAACCTCCACTCTTTGAGTGTGAGGGAGCTTTTAGAATGCAGGCGTAAGTGTACCTTTCTTTATTTCCAGAAATTAATTTGCAATTCTATTGTTGGCTATAAGTGAAACACAAATGATGATTGTACAGTTCAATGATTTTATTTGCCCACAATGGGGACCCATTTTGGACGCACAGTTGAAATCCCGAATTGGCGTATATTAAAACCCATCAAATGAATCCCGCTCATAAGCCACCGTTCAACAGGGCTATGAAGTCGTCTTTGAATAATACAAAACTATTCTATACAGTAAAATCGTATTTACGAACCATGTATGATGCTATGAAAAATAAATTGCACGGATGCTTATAGCATCGACAGGACAATTGATTGCAATTTATTGAAATTGTGTGATGTTATTATATGTACCAAATGGCATCGATGTAGTAAATACCATTTGCGCACATTGCCAACTGTCAATATTTTGTTGCATAGAGCAACATTGATGGTCGATTTCAATAATCCTCGGAATAGACTGAACACAAGCAACATGCTATATACTTTGAGTATAAAAATTTGGAAAACGAACGAGAAACAGGATTTGTTTACAGAAATATACGAAACGGTTTTAACCGAAATTTTTTCTTATAAAAAGTACGATTCCTTTTTAAGGAAATTGTTTTTTTTTATGGTTTTACTGGAAATTACCAGGTTTAAGTATTACGAAGCAAGTAATTCTTATCTTTAATTCCATAAAGGCTTTTTCATACTTTTTAGTGAGAAGTTTCAGTTTATAGAAAAGTTAGGCCCGACCTAATTAAGCCAAGCCTTCTGGTAGTGTAATGGAAATACGTAATGTTGTTGGAAATTCGACTTATCCCACTGATCTATATGTAAACTAGGACTGGATGGTGCATCCACTATGATATGGGAAGCTATATCGTTTTACATAGTTTCAGACATTTACTTAATAACGTAGATAATTTAAACACCTAGCGATCAGTTTGGAAGAGATTTTCAAACTTTATAATTTCATTTCATTAGAACTATTCTGGCTTCAAAATTGGGTCAGTGAATTCAATATGATACTCTGTCCAGTCCTAGCTAGCTTTTAGATTAGTGGTTTGCCCTTGAAAATGAAGTCGCTTTCTTAGCAAGGCGAATACGCAATCGGCCAATATCTTAAAAAAACATGCATGTGCTCAATTCAGTCAAATCGACAAGAGATAAATGAATAAAATACTTCTAAAGTAACCATCTAAAGTAACCATCCACACAATGCATGCGTAAAATACTATATATTGAGTATGCATAAAAGTTGGCATATTCTTAAATACTTTGTAAGCATCTAAATTGCGACAGTTTGGTGTCAGCAAAGCAAATATCCTGTTATGACATCAGTGAAACTTTCATTTCCTTAAGGAGGGAAAAATGACCAGCATTCAACCAGCAAATTCCTTTGAGGTCTAGTAAACCTGGCTCGTGAAACGATAAACCAGTTTACTGCGAGGTTTAGTTAGGATCCCCTTCGCAATGTAGGTCCGTAGCGATCTAGCGAAGTTTTCATATTTCATATGGGGCTTATTGCGTCTCCTGCCCCACTGCGAAGCGACCTCGGATGAATTTAGAAATTTGAAAACACCATTATCTTGGTCCACCCACTCGACAATGTCCGAATATTTTGCCGGATTGGCAAGCAATTCCAGGAGAAAATGGCATAGTCTTGGTCGCGAGGATTTTTGTTTCAAAACGGGGCTGGTGGTAATAGGGCTTGGGGCGTTGTATGTTGGTTCTATCTTTGGAACTCTTTGGAATCCGGTGAACGCCGGCGACTTTTCAGTGATGGGATTTGGTAAAGGTAATGTTTGGACAGGGTCTGGTTCGTATATGCTTCCTTCGTAGTTGAGGTAGTAACCCGAATAGTCCAGGCTTGGATCCGGCACTGCCAGGGATTGCATAAATTTTTCCTTCTGAATACGGTTGTATTCCGATTCAAACCAGGTGTCTTGAGGCGTTTTGTAGAGTTCTGGTTTAATCAATAGTGGATCTTGATCCAAACTGAAACATAGAAAATTGTTGTTATAATTATGCATTACGTTCGCAATCTCGGTTTCAATTGGCTGCTGGCCTATTTTGCGCAGGAAATATTTTTTCCTTGGGGTAAAATGGGCAGAAATGTCGGATGTTTTCTTAGAAAATTTACGGCATACCAAGGGATCCTACAGAAAGTGTTCTTGTCAAATAGATCGGAAATCTGCTTGGTTCTTGGTTCACACGGCATTTTGCGCAGATTCGTCGGAAATTATTTGCAGTTTTTTTCAACTTGAAAAATTTTGCGTGATGCGCAGGAAATTAATTTCCTCCAAAGCTTTACAGTCTTGACCTACAGATAATTATTGATATCGTGTAATTATGACGTCACATCCGCGGATAATAATTTTCTACATTCTCTTTTTGACAAGGCCAGATTGAAATTCATTGCCGCATGTGCAGCCATTACCGTGTGATATTTAAAAATATTACCTTGGTTTCAAATGCTCCGTCTTGGCATTATCACACGTGCACTGTGGTACGTCGGAGGAGTAAGACGAACACGTGCAATCGTCAAAACTGCGAGATTGCACAAGCTGTTGAGTTTTATAAACCAGATATTGACCTTGACGATCTTCCTGACCGAGTGTGTTACTGGAAAGGTCTGGGAAGTAGTCAAAATTAAGATGGTCTCCCATAATCATACTCGTCTTTATCCAGTCGCTCACTGAGTTTTGACTGTGTACTGGGGAATCGTATGAATATGAGCTGCCCATTGAATCATTGCGGTGAAGAAGATTAGGATCGGCGTAGTAGCCGTAATCTGCAACATGAAATAAGTATAGGTTAAATTTATTGCAATATACGACAAAAGCACCATAGGCGACTGGCCAAGCTTAAAAAAGTGTTTTTAAAGGGTATCGAATGTTGCCCAGTGTGTAATGCATTGTTAAAATGGCCAGTATATATAATGCTTGGTCTAACGGGAGCAATAATTGTATGAGAGTTGACGCATTTCACCGCATGAAGCGATCAAATGAGCAAAAACAATTCATCAATATTTGAACTAGGTCAAAATCGACGAGAGTCGCAATTCTTATTAGTCATGTGCACGCGATCCTCGCGTGACTCCACGCGGCTTATACAACGCGCTTGTTTGTGCTAATATCAGTAATATCAACAAGCGGTATGACGTCATAATACGATAGAACGTGCCGGCAAGATAAACACACTGTCAGTTGTGTATTCAAATTTCTTTAAGCATCTCTCGTAAACATGTTTGGTGTTTGTGCACGTAAATTAAATACACCACCCCGTATGGCAAATATAATACGCTGTGTGATATATTTAGTGGATTTCAGCAAGCGTTAGCCATTGCAGATAGTCAGCATCGACATTAAAGTCGATTGCAGACGAGCAAGTGTTCATGTGGAAAGTGCCAATTGAACGTCTGTATTGAATTTACAACAAATTTAATTCCTATGACAAGTTTTTTGTCTTCTGGCACTCCCAACAATAAATCTTTGATCAACAGCATTATATAAAGTGCTCAAATTACTTTGTTAAATTTTCTTTGTTGACTCATACAGACAAGTAAAATTATACTTTGCCCATTTTTTTTCTGTGACAAGTGCCTTGTTCAAAAGCCAGCATGCTAGACGCTTTTGAACACATAAATAGTTGTCAAAGTTGTCAAAACTACTACAAATTTAACGAACCGAATTAACATCCTTTTCTCAATCTCTGATAACTGTAGTGAAATTATTAATTGATATTGAACAAAAGTGCATAATTTGGCCTCGCTGTCAAAATTTGAACCAATGGCTGTCTAGCGTAGGTTAAGGTTGACATCATAGTAGGACGTAGGGTAAAGTCCCTCCTATGAGTTCATTTTTATTTCCGAAAACATCCTGTCTTTGTATTGTAATTTTGACCCAAATACGGTAAATTGTATATGATATATACTTAAATAAAAGAAAACGAGATATTCAAACAACAGTCCTAAATATTAAACATCGTATACATCACGTGGTCCTATTTTTTAACACTTTATTTTGGGCTGTTCAATATGAAATCGACTAGTTTGGAAAGTCTTTTATATCAAAAGTAAAATATATAGTCTCAATACCAATATACCAGAAACCCCTTGGCTGGGTAATAGCCAGGTTATAGCCGGACTAATCCTTCTCATATGTATTTCAAATCTGCACAATGTCCATATTCGAAACCTTGTGTCGTTGTGATATGTCTGGTGAATTTGAGATTAAAGCCTACACACCCTATTGTTCTGCTGGTATATATAAACGTTGGCACAAGCGGTAGCCTGTGAAGTTTTCGAACGTGCGGTGGAGGTCAGAATTTTACAATCTATACTTGAGATAATTTTATGTTGACAGAGAATTAAAAACGACAAAAACAATGTCTCATATTTCAAAGTGCATGTGGACCGCATAAACACTCCTGCTGACGTGTAGACCCTATTCTGGATACGTATATAGATTAATCCTGACAGCATATAATAGTCCGCAAATTTGATATCTGACCTTAATTCTCTTATAATATATAGCTCTTTCAAATTTTACTGATAGTTGCGTCACGCATTTGTGATATATGTTAATTTGTGAATCTCTTGCACTAATGATAACCTTATGCACATACTGATATAAAATGTATAGTATCATTTGTACATTGATAATTTATGTTCGGGATTTTTGCTGTAACAAGCCTGAGAACTTGATTTACGATTCAAATTTTGGTTACCTTTCATATATTAATAGCATTAGTTATATATAACAATAATTAATTTACTAATACCACAAAACGCCGTTCAAATAACGCAGTGAAATGAAATTAAATTGTATTGCACCACCATCTGATTAATTTTGGTAAAATTCCATACATGCAAGTAACACATAAATATTGACAAAATTTACTTTTACTTTCGGTATTTGGTTTTAAAATATCTTCTTGAAATAATAGAAAATATTAACGAAAAATGCCCTCAAAATGTTCTGTTTTATTTATTTATTACATAACGCCCTTTTTATAAATGAACAGTCAGCATGTTAGCAGGTACCCTTCGCAATGCATAATATCCTTAATTTATTATAAATATGATTCCATGTAACACAACTCACAAATCCATATATATCACTGCTGTTGTAAAATGGTTATTTTCTCGTGATCTTTATACATGAAAATTTCTATGTATATATAATATATGTAACGTTCTAGCGTATCGTTCAAGCAAACAATACACCCACGGCTTACCTGAATTGTTTGATGAAACACAAGCACGATTCATATTCTTTTCTCGCAGCTCGGGAATAACTACAAGAGAGATTAAGAAGTTACGGTTAGTTATAGAATTGATTCCGTTGAGTAGCGAACAACTTTACAACTGTCGACAACTCATAGCAACGCTATATAATCACACTATATTCTTCTTATTCCGCTCCAAATACAAGACTACTGTAAAGAATTATCATTATTTTATCAATCAGATAACTGCAGTTTCACCACCGTCTGCTGTACGATAGCGCTTAGTGAAATCCCCTTATTAACCATACCATTACCGCAAAGTTTGTAAGTTAAACAAAGTGCACGTAACCGACTTCCCGTCTCAGAACACTATACATTAAAAACTTCCTTAGTGCCTACTCAAATTCTTTCCACAAATGTGAAATTTGTTAGAAATACTAACCTTAAGTACAAATAAAGTAAAGTAGTCTAAAATTCCACCAAAGTTTGTGTTTTTCGCTGAGCGCTATGATAGCACGTCTCAATGGTTGGGTTGTTGATTAATACTGAATAATTTCTTTACACTCGAAAACAAGTTATGGAAGTTTTGACATCGCATACGTCATTAATAACCCTAGTGGGCGTCAGGGTCACGCTGTTGAAGTATTCTCTTTGTCTTTTCAACTTCCTGTAAGTCGCAAGCTTGAGTTGAGACGAGAGTCGTGGAGCGAGGGTCGTGACAGCACACGCGAGGGTCAAGTTTGAGTCAAAACAAGATGGAGACAGTGATAAGTTAAGGCTTTTCAAGAAACTGAAAATTTACTTTGGTTTTGAGAAATATCTATCTTTAACCCGCAATTTCAAATATCGTCAGGCTATATTATAAAGTCATTAAGAATATCAGCTCGCAGGTTACATGTTGAAAATGGTCGATATACAACAATGTTTCACACAGTAATACTAATAGAGCAATGTAAACATTGTGGTGCTCTATAAACGAGATTTAGGATGCATGACACCTTTCAATGTCCTGCAATACAAAGCTCACACTATCTTAGAGTTAATTTTATAAATAAATTCTTCGCACTCTTCATTCAATTGTCAAGATATTTTTACTCAACATAATGGCTGTGCAAGACGAAGCAATATTATGATTCTAGTTGCAAAATACAGTCAGTTGTTCTGACAATTTCAAAGCAGGCTATCATTATTAGTTTGTTCCTAATTAATGTATTCTTGTGGTTCTTATGTATGGTTCTATATATACCGAAACTGCAGATATTTATGTTGTTAAATAAATAAATTTGTAGTTAAGGGCGCTCAAAACTGATGAATATACTTTACTGGTTATCACTACTCAATTTTAAATTTTTATACGTTTCTCAAGCGGCAAACAAACCGTTAAAAAGTATGTTTAGTGCTTTATCTGTAAAATTATGGGGTGGGGAGATTTTAGATGGTACCGCAAAGAGAAGAGCATGATGTCTAGTGAAGTTCAGTAAGTTTTGCTTATCAATGATTTCTGTATAAACATTGGCGTCAATTTTACAGCATCAACGATAATTGCATTTAAATTGACAATATTTAACTATTATTTTGTGTTTCTCAACCGCCAGATACACTTAATGTTGCCAACAGTGTAAACTCAAAATAAAGCTAAAACAAAATAATTTTGAGAAGAACGCGAAACTGAAGGATTTTAGGTTTTGAACACTTTTCATCGCAAATACGCGACAATGAAAATAATTGCCTCTTATTAAATATAAATATATGATGCAATATATTCATGGGAAAAACCCCAACACTGCGTTGACTCGACTGGGATTCAGTTCGAACTCAGCGAACCAGGGCTGACGGTTTACCAATAGTTGAGCTATCGAGTCAGCTTGGGAGACCACAAGTTCAAATCCAGCTTGAAGCAACTTTATCTTGACAACACAGAGTGTTGGGCGGGTATTCTCATGCATGAGTCATGAATATATTGTATCACATGTTTTGCTGATGATGGCTCTCAAATAGAGTCATGTATATGACATTACCAAGGACATGATGCATTGAGTTTGTAAATTAAGCTGGTTACTATCAGACGAGCAATTTGTCGAAAAAACCGTAGCGGTTAGGTCTGCCTCGTGTCGATTCCACTACACACGTAAAAACGCACAAGTTGTAACAAACATGCAGCAGATTTGTAGCAATGATGCTGTTCCAACAACTTGATGTGTTCACACTGCTTGTTCACAGCTTGTTGATAAGTTGTCAGCGACTTTTTGACAACTTGCTACAAAGTTGTTGATTCAACAGTGAGACTTGTTACAAAGTTGCGGTTCCAACAATTTACTTGTTAGCCTATCAACCTGCAATTCATGATCAACAACTTGTTAACAAGTTGTGAGTGACAATCTTGTAGCAACGTGATAAAGTAACAACATTGTTACAACTTGTTGACAAGATTGCTACAATTGCGAACACGTCGATCTTGTTGACAAGTTGGGAGACTTTAACGTGTGTAGGCGATTTTCACGAACGACAGGTGTAAAATCTGCATACCTGTCGCCTGCGACAGATCGAGAAAGAACCTAAACAAATTCCTTATATGATGAAAACTAAATGTCATAGTTGCTTCACAGTACAAACGGGATTCAAATGCCTAGTGCGCATTGGGAATGAAGAAATGTCTAACAAATCCTACCATTTCTTCCCCTGCATTGCCTGGACTTATGAAGTGCATGTTAGAAAGACTGTACAGGTTGAATAACGGAGGAGACAGGTAGAAAAGTACGCAACCCTGTCCATTCACCATGACAGGTAAAAAATTTGGGACATTCCAAACCGGCGTGGCGTAGCTCACTGCATCTGTAAACACAACAGGCCTTCTACCATGATAAGTTTGTCTCGTTAAGGCTCCAGATCTATTTCCATTCTCTTCTGGTATTATTTAATGTGGGGTACATGGCACGAAGCCTATTAGCTGGGAATTGCTTGAACGATATTTTCTCTTATGTCTCTATGGCAATGGCCGCTCGAAGATGAATGCGCAGTGACGTGTACTGCGCAAATATTTGTCATGTTTTCCTTGAATCTTGACGGCCGTACACACAAACAAGTGTCCTTGTTAAAAAGCTAGCATGATGATGACCGGCTTTTGAACAAGGCTGCTGCTGAACAAGGAAGACATTTTCAATTTTTGCCGTACACACACAAACAAGTATAAAAAGTTGTCACTTGTCAAGGAAAACTTTCGTCTCGATGGGGTTTAGTCACAATGGAGCGCCAATTATAGATCGATCTGTCAAGTGTTCTATCACCGGCCCAACTGAAGTTGATGAAAGTAGCTTTGCTGGTTCTCCACAGCTTGGCAAAAAGGTTCATGTTGTAGGCGTTCCAATCCCCTTCTCAGCATTTTCATATTTCACTTTCCACTCGACCCTCGAAACCTTCCCACCACGCACGACTGTTGTCCTGTGACTTTGGTTACTCAGAACTTGAGTTCGCGGAAGACATCATCTTCCTGGCTTTTGTTATGTTAATTTGCAAAATTACTGTACCTAATTAAATTCCTTCTGAGTGAGAAAACAATTTGGTTTACCTTGGTGTGCACTCAGTGTCAAATATTAAGTAGAAATAAAACAACTTAACGATAACAATATAGAAGCATATATGGATTTAGTATAAATATTTCTTCAGTCCATTGACGAAGCAATTGAAAGTCTTTACCCTTCATATTACTGAACGAAGAGAATCCCATAGTCTTAAAATAGGTCCTTGAAAAAAGGTGTGTGTTGTTTTGTTGTGGTTTGACATGAATGTGTCCGGTGTAACTGACTTTGAATTTTTCTATTGTAACAATCGACTTCATTGTTCGTAACTGTTTATGATAAAACTGCATCAATTTACCAATATAAAACGAATTAATCTTATAAATTTCAAATATTTTAAACCGGTTCCTGTAGTATCAACAAGTTCTGACGTTAGCCCAATGATATTTTCACACAAGTTTTACTATATGATTGTTTACATATAACAGGGCGGGTTATGTAACTAATTATATTGTTCGCACGTTTCAGACCTTCGGCCTACGCATGCACGTACGTGTTGTTATTCTGACTGAGAAAGCAAATTTATCCCGCCAAAAGCTATTCAAACATTTATGTTGTGTGTCACGCACCAGAAAACGGTAAAATTAAGATTTGATAATATTAAGAAATGAGGCAAATTTTTTAACAAAGACTTCTCGTCTATCACATGACTTCTCAAGCAATCTGGTATTTAATTAAAGGCAAATCCAATTATACGGAAAGTCGATTTATTAATTTATGGACATCTATTACCGTACTATTTAGACAATGATATTGAGCTATCGCAAACGTTGAGTATATAGGTAGTATTCTGAATAATAAGCTAGGTTTGTGTCTGAACTACCTGAAAAAGATATCTCAAATGTGGTGGTTTGTGTAGGTTGTATTCTACAATAAGCTGCCGTGGTTTGTGCCGTCTGGACTACCTGAAAAAGATCTCAAACGTGGTGGTCCAGTTCGTGTATAGGTTGTATGCTACAATAAGCTGTCGTGGTTTGTGTCTGAACTACCTGAAAAAGATATCTCAAACGTGGTGGTCCAGTGTATAGGTTATATTCTAATAAGTTATCGTGAAGGGGATCCATGCAGTATCGTAATTGTGGTTTATGTCTGAAAAAGATATCTCAAACGTGAGGGTCCAGCGTAGGTATTCTGCAATATAATTATAAGCTGTCGTGGTGTGTGGGTGAAGTGTCTGAGAAAGATTACATGTAAAAAACTTCTACAAGGAAGTCAGACCGGTACATCTCGCCTCGTGACGAAGGGCGTTGTCTCAAAGTGTCCAAGTGTTATTAGCTTTTCTCAAGTAGCTCAGACACAAACCACGACAGCTTTAACTATCTGAATTCTGAACCGTAATTGTAGCAAGATCGATCTAGAACTATAACTCAACATAATCATTGCCTATAATTGCGTTTTGAACGGAAGGTGAACCAGCCATTCTGGTGCCGTAAATTTTAAATTCAAAACCCCTCCCACACATTCTCTACATTCATGTAATCTTATTTCATATTTAATTTTAACTGTATATATAAAAGTTAATTAATTTATTTCACAAAGACTATATTTTCTTTCTCTTTCATGCATGATTTCGTGAAAGTGAATCCAACCCATAGTTCCTTGATTTTCAGTTGGGTGAAAATCAAATCAAGTAATTTAGAGAAGTGACCCAAAAAGATTGTAAGTTTTGAACGCTTTTCATCGCAAATACGTGACACAGAAATGCGAAAACATTGCCTCTTAAACCTCTAATGCGTGGGTTTTCCGTTTCACAAGTTAGAAAGTCCGGTACTAGCTGAAAGAGCGGCAAATAAAATGTTGCCAGAAAAATTATAAAGACGATTCGGTTAGGTTTTTAATTCCACTGAGCACTATCGTGCAGCACACAACGAGCCAACCATGCAGCAGTTATCAGAGTGGGTATAATGTTACTTTCTGCATGGATGCATGGCGTATTTGCGTATTTAAACCTAAAACCTTTTTGGTGTACCTCTTAAAAGTACTTTGTTTTAGCTCTATTTTGTAATTTAGACAGTTAGCTACTTTGAGTAATTCACTCTATGTTTTTTATCCGGCAGATGGATTAAAACTGAATTTGAATAGTAAAAAATGTCAATTAAAATACAATTTTATAATATGGCATTTGTAAATTCTGAACGCTGATTGGCTAAGATCCGTGTTGATATAACTCGTTGTCTACACGGAAAATTTCTTTCTTTATATTTCTTCGTGCTATATTATAAAAAAAAATATAAAACTTTTTTTCTCGAAATTGTGTGAAAACACTCCGCCCTTCGGGCGTCGTGTTTCCACACAATTTCTCGTTTTCCCAACTTCCACTCGTGTTGATACTCGGTATATCAACGCAGAAAATGCTTTATATTTGTTCAATCAACAATGCTTTGAATTGACACCTTATTTAGCGCAATATATAAGCAAAACGTACTGAACTTTAGACATCATTTTCTCTTTGACTTTGTCTTTGGCTTACCAGTTAAAATTTCTTTATTTTAGCATTATCGTTCAGACAAAGCAAGTTCGCTATATATATGCTTTCCCTAATCCAAAGCTGCACACAACTGAGTAAAGGCGTCTGTAAAGCTCTGAAAACTATTGCCAACGATCTGACAATAAAATACGTTATCGGGTAGACAGTTTACATGGCATTCATAAAGACTCGGCTTGTATTTCACTTTTTCTGATGTTTCCGTAGGCTCGTCACTCGCCATAGTGTTTCGCATTGCAAGTATAAAATAGCGTTATTCTGTTTGAATTTCCTGGTCAGAAATTAGGTAGTTATACGCATCTGATATGTGCTTAGGCCAAAACACTGTAGTCGTTTTATCATTTTCTTGACTCACTGTACTCTCATATTTTACACTTGGAGAGTCTTCTTCATTTTGAGAGGTTCACATACAGCTCGTATTTCGGTATTTGATAGAATATGTTAAATATCCAGTCTTACTAACTGTTTTTTCTAAGCCAGATAAATAAATATATACAGCGCGTGGTAAACAGGTTCCTTAAGTTACGTCACTCATGCTCATCCCATTTATCAATTTCCACCAAAACCCCCATTCAAATGCATATCTCGCAAACGAAAACTGTAAAAGAACTTATTAAATAATTTTGTATCCCCCATTCAAAACTGCAATAAATTTTTTTGTGACATAAGCACTTTAATGTGGAACACTCTATTCAGCACTAAACACCGTCAAACAAATAAATTATACTTGACAAGGCAGCTTGAGGTTGACAGGATACATTTAAATTATAATACATGAAGTATTCAGGCAGGCAGGCAGGCAGGCAAAGGGGTTGTTGGGAAGGCGCCCTTATCTCGCCACTGCAATACGTCATGTAAACTCGTCATATGCGCATATGCATCGCTGTTTTTGACAAAGAAACACCTGGGTACGAGGCAGAAACATATACATCTGCCGGCAGTCGCCAGCCTGTACTGTTTGTCTGTCTGTATGTATGTATGTATGTATGTAAGTACAATGCAATCAATCAGCTGATCAATGCTAACTATTAGTCAATCGGGAAATAGGAGTATTAAAGCCAATTTTGAATGACATCATGTATATACTTTGCAAGTTCACATTATTTTGAGGAAAATTTGGAAACCTTTGAAAACCTTTGAAATTTTACTCGCGGGAAGGTTGTACATTTTTTGCAACTCCTACAAGTCCCAATATTTCATCTGCACCGGCATGTGTTTCAGTATTTCTTGGGGGAGGAGGGGGCGACGCGTATATAGCGAAAGGGGCTTTATAAAAAATTTTCCCCGAAAGGAGTGTGCTTATTTGAGATGGGATCGATCCTTAACAGAGGAATTTCCGTTAATAGCTACATCTTGAATTTGGCGTACCGAAAGTGCTTATAAACGTGGAGTGTTATTTCTTTGTTGGCTGTCGTCATATAGAATCACATGTTTATGCCAAGGACATCCTACGCAGCACCCACTCACTCCTTTCAAATTTCAATAACACTTGAACTTCCTGCAATTATATACTCCACATTTTACAAACAAAATATTCTTTGTTAAATGTTAAATTCTTGCTCTAATGAAAATTCTATTTTACATTCTTACTGATTGCTGCCATCTTAATCCCAATGCATCTATATTCTCACCATTCTGGTATGCAAATTTGGTACACTTATGGTGATTCAAATATACATGCTCAGCATTCATCTAATCGAAAATTTCACCTCGGTCACATGTGAGACGGTGCATGCTTCCACTTTCGATCCAGAAAGTATTACTACAGCAGAACACCAAAACTAAACTGACTTTATTTAGACTAAATAGTTCTATAAGTTCTAAACTGTTTTCTCTAGTGGTCCAAGAAGGGCTGTCTCTCTTTGGTTTGGTATTATAATATATTGTACAGCTGGAAACGTACTTTATTTGGATAGGTTTATCAGTTTTAGACCGTTCTGCCTACGGAGGTCCAGTAACGGCCATCTCTTATTCGTCCAGTGTTAAAACAGAGGCTATAATGAATAGCCCACTCTATACTGAATAGCCCCATCAGTTCTAACCTGTTCTTACTAGAGGTCCAGTAAGGGCCATATCTTTTTGGTACGAATGTTACTGCAGCTGAAACTTAAACTAAACTAATTTTATTAATTTTATACCGGGTAGCTTTTATGATTCTAAACTGTTCGCTCTAGATGTCCAGTAAGGATCATCCCTTATTCGTCCAGGAGGAAAAAAGAGAGAATAAAACCAGGAGGAAACCTAAATCAAAATGACTTTATTAATGCTGCAAAGTTCTATTAGTTCTGAACAGTTCTCGCCAGAGATCCAGTAAGAACCGTACGTACCCAGAATATATTTTGGTCAGGTTTCCAGTTTTGTGGTAATATTGGAACAATATATAGGGGATGACAAGATTAGAACTGATAGAGCTATTCAGTATAAATAAAGTTCAGTTTAGTTTAGTTCAGTTTAGTTTAGTTTATAATCTCGGACGGTCGGTATACTATGACCAGTGTAGGTATAGCGACGATAACAAAAGACAGCTGCGGAAAAATACTGAAGCAGAACTTCGACGTATCGAGCGAAGGCCCTTCGTGGGGAAGTTAGTCATAGATATCTTTTATATACACTAGATAGCGTATCTCTTTTAGTAAAATTGAATACAATAATATTCCAGCGGTTACCCCCATTTGAATAGATGGCGGCCATGTTGGTAGTTCCCACTCGCTAATAAACGCTTAAGAAACAACAATAACTTTCATCATTTGAATAGTTTGAAAATGTATTTGGATGTATCAGTGACCGATTACATCAAGTATTACACTTGACCTATAGAATATTTTTACAACAATTGAGATATTAATATTACTTTCCTAGCTATGGTTTATCCTAACCAGTCCTGCCAACTTTCCCATGGGAGGAAACCGGAGCGCCCGGACAAAACCCACGACTTTCGAGAGAGCGTTGACAGACTCTTCACATGAGTCCGTAGCGAGAATTGAACCCACGATCTCAGAAAGGCGCTTGCTCTGATGACTGCGTCACCGAAGCCCCTTAGGGGTTTCGCTCAAAACGTCGTCATTCTCATGCTGATATTTTTCAGCTAGTTGTATTGCAGTCCGCAGCTGTCTAGTTTAGGTTGTAGGTTTCCTCCTGTTGTACAACACTGGACGAATAAGAAGAATGGTTTAGACCTGATAGAGCTATCCAGTATAAAAAAGTTATTCTAATATATATAGGTTTCCCTTAATTTGTTGTAACAGAATCAATAAAGATATAGCTCTTACTGGACCTCCAAGGAAAACAGTTAAGAACTGTATCTCTTCACTAAACTGTGTTATTAAGAATGAAAATATTATTTGAGAACATGCTGAGATGATAGGGATTTTTATTTTGTGTTTGAAAACAATAAGGACGACGGCTGAGTGATTTTGCGTGGGATGTTTGTTTCGATTGTCATATATACAACCTGTATAGTGTATACTGCTTTTTGTAACCGCTGAATGAACTGAAGGACACTCGCTTTCGAACTGAAGGACACTCGCTCTACAGTTTGGTCACATGCACCTTCTTTTGCTACATTCAGTTTCATAATAGTGGATAGCTGCATCAGTTCCAAACTGTTTTCCCTAGAGGTCAAGTAAGGGTCATCACTTATGTTGTTTCAGTGTACTATATGCATGGCAACCTATACAATAAACTAAATTTATATTTATATTGGATAGTTCAGTTCTAAACTGTTATCTCTCTTGAGATCCAGTAAGAGCCACACCCTATTGTGTTACTAGGGAATATCCAGTATATAATAAAGTTATTTTGGTTTAGGTTTCCTTCGGTGATGATATTGGAACAATAAGGGGTGACCTTCACTGAACTACCAGGGAGAACAGTTTAGGAATGATAGAGCTATCCAATATAAGGCTATAAGCTATTCAGTAGCTCCGTCAGTTCTATACCGTTCTTATTCGTGCAGTGTTACAATAGGAGGAAACATATATTTAACTGAATATAGCTCTATCAGTTATAAACTGTTCTCCCTGGAGGTCTAGTATAGAGCCCATCCCTTATTGTTCCAATATCACCACAAAAGGAAACCTAAAGTAAACTTACTTTTTTTATACTGGACAGCATTTTCAGTTCTAAACTGTTCTCCCTATAGAGATCTAGTAGAGGCCATCACTTCTTGTTCCATTATCACCACAGAAGGAAACCTAAACTAAACTAACTTTATTGATACTGGACGAATGATTACTAGACCTTTAGGAAGAGCAGTTTAAATCGGATAGAGCTTATTCTATTCGGTATAAATAAAGTCAGTTTAGTTTAGGTTTCCTTTTGTGTGTAATACTACCTGGATTAATAAGAGATGGCTCTTGACCTTCATTTAAGGTGACAGGACACCCTTTTTGGTGTTTTGTGGAAAATCGCTACTGCGCGCTCAAAATTTTCATCAAATTTTCACCAAATGTTAGCCAGTGCATGCAAAATATGATAAAGTTGTAAAATTGACAAACAATAAAATAATGTAAGAATTATTCAGGAAAATATTAAGTCATTCCGCTGATATGGCGATTTCTTTGACGACTGCAATATATTTCTGAATCGTTTGTGTGAATTGCTCCTTATTATTAAAATATCCAAAATTAGAACAAAGCCGAACATGATTTTGAAACTGACGTCTTTAGCTATGTCCTGTGAAAATTTGAGAAAAATTCGTTAAAACCCGCAGGAGCACAACTCGTTTAAAAATCAGTAATTGCCGTAAAATTCTTCGCGAGAAAATTGAATTTGAAATTTTTCCTATTTTCTATTTTTCTTATTGCAGCGAAATGTATTTTATTAAATAACTCTGCGAGTTTTCAACATTTTTCGTCCAAACTTGGTCAGATAGTAGAACTAGTCTAATGCTTTCATGGAAACCAATAAAAAAAAATTAGGCAAAATTAACACTCAAAGGTCTTCTGTAACCTTAAAACTTAAAACTTAAAACAGAACTGTATCTCTTTCATTATGATGTTATTGAAACTGAATTACATATTTCTGTTTGAGAACACTCTGAGAAGATGGGAATTTTTATTGTCTGTGTGAAAACAATAACGGCGTCAGCTGAGTGATTTTACGCGGGATTTTACATAGTGTTTCCATTCTCATATATTATACACCTTAATTGGTCACACCTTCTTTGGCTGCATTCAGTTTCATAATAGCATTTAAGTATCTGATTGTTGTAATAAGAATGGAAACTCATAATCACTCAGCTGTCGTCGTTATTTTTTCCTACAGAGAAAAAATCCCTACCTTCTCAGCATGTTCTCAAATAGAAATATTTCCAGTTAAAGAGATACATACTTCTAAGAATGTTTTTCTTGGAGGTCTACTGGTCTAGTAAGAGCCACTGATCTCTTATTGATCCAGTGTTACTACAGATGGAAACTTATTACTAATCTATCTCTAGTTATACTGGATCTATCAGTTTTATATTGCATGTTCTTCCAGTAAGAGCCATGCTTTATTATTCCAATATCACCACCGAAGGAAACATGTAAACTTGACTAAATTAATTTACACTAGATAGTTCTACCAGTTCCAAACTGTTCTCGATAGAGGTCCAGTTACTCCAGTATAAGTACCATCTCTTATTGTTCTGATTAGTTTTACCATATATGGAAGCCTAAACTAAACTAACTTTATACTTATATTGGAAAGCTCTATCAGTTCTAGACTGTTCTCCCAGGAGGTCCAGATAAGGTCATCCCTTATTACAATATTACTCCAGCGTTACAGCAAGAGGGATTTTTAAAAAGACCTTGCTGTATTTTGGTAGAGCCAAACTGGAAGTATATATTCTTCTCACATGGGACAGGTGAAATGTTTATCATTAATCGTGTACACTTAATTGCCTTCTTCAGGAATTATACAATGCATTAATAAAATTATATTATTCGTGTACTAGATTTTTTCTCAGAGAAACACGTTCCTAGCCACTTGAGAAAGTAGATATTTTGCAATTTTCCGATAAGCACAATCTAAACAGCGGAAACTTATAACTCGTAATTGCCGCCTTCAATCTACTCGATTGGTCGTGTGGGTTTCCTTTACGGTACGTTTTATGTTCAACTTCAAACCAATATAATATTGAAAATTTAAATGTTTAGAGTGTTAAAAACTTTAAGCTATTGTCATGCCTTTTATATTGTCTTTAAAAATCCATTTCTCTTGAATAGAAAAAAATCAAGAGTATTATCAATGAATTCGATCAATTTCATCTCTTAGATTAAATTTTCGATGCCTGCTAATAATTTACTGTGTAAAATCTGGATAGTATTAATACTTTTCGGGACATCTTGTCAATATCGCTTAGTCTTGTAGGTACGTACTATAGTTTCGTAAATAATTATCTACTCATTAAGTACTAGTTAAAAGACAAGCATGCAGGAGTGCTTTTATATCAGATACAAAACACAACGCGACAGCCAAGTTGATCAGTCTAATTGAAATGACCAATATGACTCCGATTTGATGAGTTCATTGGTGAAGTCATTTTGAAAATCAACATTCTCTAAACCAAGGGAATCAATTCTAAAGTTCATGTAAATTAACATGATGTTTTATCAGATATAAAACCACCGACAGGGTAGTGTTTCGTTTGTCTT